TTACTCGCGTTTTATTCGATTAATACATGGGATATATGGGAGCTTTTACTACTACAATCATAAGAATGCCGGCCGACAACACTGGACTGAACACTGAATGAATTCTATCAGCGATATTCAAACTTCTTATTTTTTCACTGATTTTTATTCAGAACTTTTCAAGTTTCCGTATCAAAATGATGGCTTGTTCGCGTGATTGATTGATTGATTGATTGATTGATTGAGGCGAGATTACCCACGAAAACCACTGAAAAACAAATTCATTTTTCACAGAGTTTTCAGTGTGAACGAGCATTTCGCGTTCTCTGCAACGTTGTGATGGAAAAAACCTGTTGAAGACTGAAATGCTTGATGCAATAATCACACATGAGAAGCTTTTTATGCTGTCATGAGTTCTATTGATTTTTAAAATACGTTCTTTTGGTCTTACTGACGATTACATGCGTATTGCATTTGCCATTTGCTTATTGTTTACGAAACAAATTCTGTTTCTCACCATTTTTCTGCTTATAGTTAGCTTCCCATAGGTGATTTTGCCTTTCATTTCAGGGTTCCATCATTTTTCCGTTTTGCCGTTAATTTCCAAGTTTTCAAACTTCATCAGAACTAGAATTCCGTTTGCTTCATTCAATGAATATGTTAATCTTTTGCATACCGAGAAACTCAGTTCAACAGGATTATTGAACATCCAACTTTTAACCACTCAAAGAAGTGTACGAATTGGTACCGTTTCAGACAGTACCAAAAAGAGCCGAAAATCAGCCGAAAGCTTGACATTCTCATGAAAGAATGCATTCATTGCACTTCAGAATTTGAATGTCACTTATTCATTGGGTTATGCGAGAATGTTTTATTCGCATAGCAGTTATTCAATAAGCACTATCAATGAAAATAATGCCAGCAATATAAGCATTACTAGTAATAATACCGCTGATATGAATTCACTGATAAAATCACCATTCTGTCGTGCCGACAGTAATCATTGAAACAATCATAATAGCAATGCCATAATGTTGAATTAAAAACTGAAATCGATCTGAAGTTTGTTCGTTAATTTTCCGCAGCAATGAAACCCGATAAAATGATGTAAATGTTTGCCTCAAGCTCATCGAATGCAATTATTTTCGTGGATAATTTATGCAATCTTAGGAATTTCTCCACGTTCTTTTTCGTTCCAACCATTATTTTCAAACATCGTTCATGTTCACAGTGCTACATTCACAAGACTAAATTCACAGTTGCTGTAATTCGAAATTCGTAATTAGTGTCATTCATTCAAATCAACCAATCAACCATCGTTGTGCTAAAGTAGTGTTACATTCAATCCAGTTGTGCTATAATCAAACACAGGATTATATGTGTTCGAAAATGATTAAAAAAACCTATTTGATTTGAAGAATAATCAAAAATTTTTCGTTTTCAGGATTGTATGTGATCAATGCTTCTTCAATCAGTCGTCAAACGGAATGCCTGAAGGACTGTCACCACAACGAAAACCGATTCCACCGCCTCGTCTGCCTCAAGGTTACAAACCACCCCTACCGAAACGTCCCGATCGAATACTTCGAGCTGGAGCGCTGCACCTTCCACCTCCAGACACTGCTCCACCACCACGACCACCGCCACGACTTACTTGTGCTCAAGCTAAAAGTACGACCGAATCAAGCACCGGAGCATCTTCGAACAGCCCAACGGTTCAATTATCCACGTCAGTCGATTCAACCAGGTTAGAAGCGATCGTAGAATCGCCGCAACTTGATGAGGATTCGGATGCTGGAGATGGCATCCAATCCTCACAAATCATCAGTCATTCTCCTTCACCACATCGATGTTTGTCTCCACGGTCTCCACCTAAATGGCCTCCACCAGTACCTCAAAAGCCGAAGCGTTTATCAGTTCCAAACAGTTCCGATATGACATCTTCATCAGAAATTTCTGAGGCAGCTGTTATCGGCTCAAATGTTCCAAATACACCCGTAACATTTGATAATGAAATGTTAAAACCATTGCAACCAGTCGCCACTTCATCTGCTGGTTCGTCATCCGGTGAATACAATCATGCTTTTGAGGATGCGCGATCAGCAAGC